CTATTGTGTGACCTGTTATAGCATGTGCTGTAATGGGTGTGTTTTTATCTACCCTTAGGGATTGTTTTTCTTTTATCTTTTACCTTGTAGCACTTTGCGATTTCTTTTGTACATGTAAAGTGCTTTATAAATAAAATGTATTATTATTATCACCAGAACAACAGCGGTCCAAGGCAAAGCATGACTCACCCACATCACCTTTAGGATAGAACCATCATGAACAGGTAGACACTGTAAAAGCTGATAAAACACTAAAGACCCAGAAAATAAAAATCATTATCCACTAATTCAATTCAACACACAGGAACCCATCAGCTCTCCTCTGATTGCTACAGTAGTTCAGAGCTTTTCTCCTTCAGGACCCCCCGTAACTGATACAGACTTACATAACTCATAGATATCACTGGGACTTGGTCATGTCACAAGCCTGCAGTCTCTGGTTATGGGGGTCATGGACCACAGCTTTTACCACCTTTCAAGATAAAAGTCACAGGTCTGCTAACAGCAGACCTAGCATGAAAGCGGAGAGCACAGAACCTCCTGAGTGAAGCTGTGAGATTTCTAAAGGTCTAGGACATCAGGAGGATTCCCCATGATGCCTAGCAGGACACATGTTGTCCTCTGGACAGACCGCAATGATGTGGAATAACTGTGTGAATTACAGTCTGTGGTGGCCATTTCAGTAAAGTAGCATAAATCTGTTAGTTGTAAAGTTCTTTTAGAATTTCTTATCATTCCTTTTCTAATAAGTTAAGTTTGCAATTTAAATGTGTTAATTTTTAATTTTTTGGTAAATTGATGTAATTGTGACCTTTTTGGACATGCCGTAGCACATGGGGAGGCGTGTGGAAAATGTTTGTTTGCCAAGTGTCAGGGGAGATGGGAGGATTTGGTTAAATGATTTTTTGACCATTTTTTTAGACCTGATAATTAAATTTAAGGTTAATTTTTCGTTGGATGAAAAGTATAACATTTTGAATGAATTTTGAACTTTTTTTTGGAAGAATAAACCAATTATAAAATTTGCAAGAAATGAAGTCTAAAAGTGTGTGCTTAAAGGAAATTGACACTCACACAAGGTTAAATCAGAGACAAATTAAAGTTAAGTTAATCGTCGTGACACATAGATATGTTCTTACCCACAAATCAGAACCTCCGTATCTGAAAGAAGGCGTGTTTCTCAGATTCTTGGTAATATCCCTTAACATGGCACGCTCTGATTTGTTAAGGAATTAATATGAGAATATAAAAACAGAATCAGTCTGGTGATTCAGCAGTTCCAGTTCCAGCTCTACAGAGTTCTAGAGGAAGCTACGGAAACAACGGCCGTCCGTATGGTCTCTTTAACTAAGAAGCAGCCTCTGACACGCTGTCACGGTTGTTGCAAAGCTGACACGGCAGTCGGTTCCTGCAGCTAATTTTGTTCCGACTCCTTAAGAGTCTAGACGCAAACGGTTCCATCCAACCTGTGTGCTGGCGACATCTCTGGACTGGAGAAATTGGCGCTGTGGTCAATCTACTGGACCTGGGTGCCCAGAGGCCATCCGACCTTGATGACCTCCGGATCCGTGAAGAGGGTCTTCCAAAGGGTGAGGTAGAACACAGATTGCGTCTGATGCCTTTTGCTAAGAATCAACTTCATAGCTTAACGCAAACCAAATTCTTTCCCTTTCACACCCAGAACTCAGCTATTCTAGATACGGAAGTTCTGATAACCACATTCACACATAGGCACCATATACCACATCTCCTCCCTCTAGATTCATCCACCACAGTAAATATTAGTTCACTTGTCATGTTTTAGTTGTTTGGACAATAAATTCTTACTTTTACAAACCTGAATCTTTCCTGAATCAAAATGAAGAGTTTACAATCCCCCTGAATGAACAAATAATCCTAAAATCGTCTGATTAAACATCCAAAGACCAAGCAGGTTGATGTTCTATATTTATATAGACTATCACAGCTTATTGGTCATAAGTAGAGGCAAGGGCGTAGGAGCGAGTTTAATATTGGGGGGGGGACACATTTTGGAAATCTAACAAATCTGTTGTAGGTCAATATTTAGGTCAACTTCACTGAAAAAATACATTGAATGATTATTTCTGATTCTAACGTGTCACTGAGTGTTTCATGCAGGCTGAATATGAACATAGTCTCCTACAGCTATCTCCTGCATTAGCTTCTGATAGAAAATCTGATAGACGGTGAAACTCTAGGATTAGAAAAGTCTGACAGATGTGACTCAGGGCGTAAGGCAAAGCCCAGAAAGACAAGAAAATAACTTTCATAGCCCAGTTCACTAACATTCTGGGTTGTTTTTTTTTTTATCGGGGACCCATGAGCCAGCCAGAGGGGGAGGAGACTTAGGCTCCCCATTAGCCAGATCCAGGTGATTACTGGCCAATGTGGATGTTTTAATTATAAAAAAGCTGTTTATGTGTCAGTACTGTTTTATTTTTATGTAATAATATGAATGTAGGATATATTATCTTATTCATATGGGTAGAGATGTGTAAACAGATTTAATACAAGACTAAAGCTGTGAATATTCAGTCTGAATTGATCTGACTCTCATCAGAATATTTTAAACTACATCAGCCAACAACGCTGACCAACAATCAGAAAAATCTGTTTGCTTCTGACAGAATGACAAAAGAAATAATTCATTCACAACAACAGCTGGAACTACGTTAATTTTCAGATGGACAAAAGAAACAAACAGTGGCCAAAATTGCAGTCTAAATGCACCAGAATGCAGAGTTTAACACTTATTTTTCTAATATTTCTAAGGAAGCGTATACAGAATGTAATTTATTCTTAACCCGTACTGTCCAGCCTACTTGTTATGAGATTACATATATTTAACTGTGTTCACTTATTATCACATTCAAATCTTCCTCTCATCAGCAACCTAAAACCATCTCATTCTTCACTGTAGCACCTACCTGCACCTCAGCAGGTCTGGTGCTCCCTGTCTCACTCTCAGCAGGTCTGGTGCTCCTGTCTCACCCTCAGCAGGTCTGGCTCTCCCTGTCTAACCCTCAGCAGGTTCCTGCTGAACTTCCTCTGATCTCTAAAATAAAAAGAGTGGACAGGAATAAGGAGTAAAATACTGTTGGACGACTAGTGCAACATTAAAATCATGGTTGTTTTAGTATTATTTAGTCGTGTTCACTTGTTATCATGCTTGAATCTTCCTCTCATCATCAACCATCTAAATTCTCACTCCACTGTAGCACCTACAGGCACCTCAGCAGGTCTGGTGCTCCCTGTCTCACCCTCAGCAAGTCTGGTGCTCCCTGTCTCACCCTCAGCAGGTCTGGTGCTCCCTGTCTCACCTTCTTCATCACTTTCCTGCTGAACTTCCTCTGGTCTCTTATATGAAAAAAGTGACATGAATAAGGTTTAAAAATGAAATGTGATGAGAATGTAACAAACAAGCAATAATCACACTTACAAATTCCATTTTTATGTGGAGATTCAACCTTTTTATTTATTTCGTGTCAAATGGTTTTTGTCTGTTACTGTAAAATTCGCCATATTTGTTGACTAGTAGTGTTGTTTAATGTTTAATGCTAACTAGCAAGATGTTTACGCTTTTCAGCCATTTTAGCATTTGACCAGAAATACAATTATACTCTTGGACTAAATTATTACCAACTCACAATTCCTTTCTTTCTTTTTTTGCCCATGAGAAGACCTCGCTGAGCTGCTGCTGTCTGTCTCTGACACCTGTCTGCCCGCCCGGCTCTGAGTCCTGCTTCACTCAGCCAGCCCGTCTAACTCCCTGAGGGGAGGGGCTGTGTCGGAGAGAAGTCCGCGGTGTCTTTCAAAATAAAAGCTCGCGAGTCAAATATTTCAAAATCAATCTTTTTCTTCTCCATGTTTTTTTTTTCTTTGGGGGGGGGGGGGGGGGGGGGGGACGACGACGACGACGACAAATGCCTGTTTGTCCAATATTGGAGGGGACACATCCCCCCCCCCCCCCCCCCGTTCCTACGCCCTAGAGGTAATATATTAAGCTCTTAAAGCACTCAGTTTACCAAACCCTACATCTGTAACCCTGTGATGCAGTGTGTCTACCATGTTCTGTGGTGATTATTTATACTTGCTGTGTTTATGATGGGAACACGTTGCCGTCTCCCTGAATCGGACCAGGTTCTCTCTCTGAAGGCCACAACCATCGTTCTCCTACTGAACCAAAGCTGACACTTATAATTCATTATTTCAGTAAGTATTCACCTTGTTTTTATTTAAACCTGATTAAAATCCAAAAGTTCATAAAAATGAATGTAAAGTTACGCACCATGTGATCTCTGACACAACACCCGAGACAAGAGTAAAGACAGGACGCCCTCTAGTGGGTGGGGAATGTAATGACGTCCTGTCTGGGTGTAAATGTCTGAGCAGCCTGTGGGTGACATTCTGGACTGAACCCGTCCCTCAGAAACGTGTTTTTGTCTCATTTGTTCATCGTTTCCATCTTCATGTGATCATTTATCCTATATTGCTCCTTATGGCTGGATCTGCCAGCTTTGGAATAACATTATGAACATTCCCTGCTGCTGTCTGAATCCAGTAACGTGCACTAACATCCTCCCACGTAGTCCTGACTGACTCCTTCATGGTTAGATGAATCTGTCCCTCAGACCAGCTCTGTTCCAGTGTTGAGTCACACATCACGTGTTTCTTCTGCCCAGCTCACTTGCTTTCTGGAACATATGTGTTGTGTTGATGGGGGGTGAGCAGAAGCTGATTTTGCTGCAAGTATCCAGTAACACAGCAGTGATGGCTGCAGACACCAGAGAACTGAATAACCAAGACGAACTGGCTACTAAGGCGTTGAATTGAAACGCATTAAACCTTTAAGTGAACACAGGAAGCAAACCTGTAACCGGTCCGCTGCTCCTCTCCTTGCTTCATGAAGCGTTTGTCTGCAGACCAACGAATCGCTGAGCTTCTTTAGGAGTGTCCCAAAAAGAGTCAAAGAGCTGATGAATGATTGCACACGTTTATGAAAAAGAGTAACAAAGGCAGGCTATTGGCTGAGCATATATTAGGATAAAGATAAGTACTTGGCTAAATAAAGGCACATTTTTTCTTTTTGTCCAAAGAAACAACAGAAACACGACAGCCGTCACCAACACGGCTCTGAACCACACATTTGGCTCCAGGCTTTCTTTAGTGGCTGCAGTCGACACACGTCTGCCAAGGATCCTCCATCCGCCCGTCCTCGGCCGGCGTCCTGCTGCTCAACAGGCGGTGCCTTCATGATCTGAGTTGAGCTTTCATTTGACTGGGTTCCTGTGTCCAGATTTGAGTGTTGCTGGTATTTTCACACATAAGAGGAAAGTGAAATACTGAGTGACTTCCTGCAGTGCAACAGGAATCCAGTGAAGCTGCCATGTTACCGCTGATGCTGCTCAGGTTCATGAAACCACCCACGGTGCTTCCGCAGTGTGACAAACAAAAACGGGACACAGGTGGGATGGAAACAACAACCACCTCCACTCTGTTCACTGAGAGCACGCTGGATTGACCTCATCCTACCTGCTGCTCTATGAGCAGCCTCTGTTTGGAGAAACAGAGATCAGCTCTGACAGGATAAATGAGCTAACAGCTAGTCACAGCGGAGCCACCGTCTTAAACAACTCCAGTCTCAGCTCATTCATGAAAAAACACTTTCATAAAGGTTTACTTTGCTGCTAATCTAGCTGATTCAGACCTGCCAGCCTTGTCAAAAATTTAGGGTACCACATCCACAGTTTTTTTTTTTGCAGACTTTTGCCATTACGTTGTTTCCACGTTGTAATTTCCCCATTCACTGGCTGGAAACATCTTCTGGAATAGTCCAACGTATCGTGTATTTTAATATTAAACAGTAAACTCAAAAGTTGCAGTTGCTTAGCTGATATAATATGTGTGCTTATACAAGCCGACTGCCACGAGTTACTTGCATCGAATTATTTCAACATTCAATCAAAATAATACAAAATTCAGTTTTCAAGAATGTAATATTAAACTGGCTTAAAGCACATACCGTATGCACACACCACCGGGACTAATTTATACATTACCTGCAGCTCGCTGGTGGCTGATGTCCACATCATAATTGCAGATGAAGATAAATGCATGATGAGGTAGTTTAGAGGGTCACAAGCATGGCCACTAGTTTAAATGAGTTTTTTTTTTTCAATAATTTGGCTAAATCTTTTATTTATTCTTTCTTCCTGTTTTACTTTATTCGTGCATTGTTGTTGTTTGTTTTAAACAAAGCTTAATTGGTTCGCCTTCTAGTTTCTAATGTGGAAAGGTTAATTCCAGCTAATGTTTCCACTTCCTGCATCTTTAATCTGCTCTAATTATAACATGTTGTATTTCATGGGTGACCAAAATAAACATAGCCTACTGTTCATAAACCTGTAGGACTGAAAATCCTGTTAACATGATAATCCAAACGCACAATACATCATTCAGGAAAGTTGCATAATCTACTAAAGGTTTCATTTTTACCAACTGTCTTTTATGGATTTTGCTGTTAGTGTAGAACAATCTAGTCCAGGGTTGAAGAGTCTAAGTGTTGTAGGTTTGAGCTGGACCAGATCTAAGGTAGACCAGATCTAAGGTAGACCAGATTTAAGGTAGACCAGATCTAAGGTGGACAAGATCTAAGGTAGACCAGATCTAAGGTGGACCAGATTTAAGGTAGACCATATCTAAGGTGGACAAGATCTAAGGTAGACCAGATCTAAGGTAGACCAGATTTAAGGTAGACCAGATCTAAGGTGGACAAGATCTAAGGTAGACCAGATCTAAGGTGGACAAGATCTAAGGTAGACCAGATCTAAGGTGGACAAGATCTAAGGTGGACAAGATCTAAGGTAGACCAGATCTAAGCTGGACCATATCTAAGGTAGACCAGATCTAAGGTGGACCAGATTTAAGGTAGACCATATCTAAGGTGGACCAGATCTAAGCTGGACCAGATCTAAGGTAGACCATATCTAAGGTGGACCAGATCTAAGCTGGACCAGATCTAAGGAAGACCAGATCTAAGGTGGACCACATCTAAGGTAGACCAGATCTAAGGTAGACCAGATCAAAGCTGGACCAGATCTAAGGTAGACCACATCTACGGTGGACCAGATCTACGGTGGACCAGATCTAAGATGGACCAGATCTACGGTGGACCAGATCTACGGTGGACCAGATCTAAGGCGGACCAGATCTAAGGTAGACCAGATCTACGGTAGACCAGATCTAAGGTAGACCAGATCTAAGGTGGACCAGATCTAAGGTGGACCAGATCTAAGCTGGACCAGATCTAAGGTAGACCAGATCTAAGGTGGACCAGATTTAAGGTAGACCATATCTAAGGTGGACCAGATCTAAGGTGGACCACATCTAAGGTAGACCAGATCTAAGGTAGACCAGATCAAAGCTGGACCAGATCTAAGGTAGACCACATCTACGGTGGACCAGATCTAAGGTGGACCAGATCTAAGGTAGACCAGATCTACGGTGGACCAGATCTAAGGTAGACCAGATCTACGGTGGACCAGATCTAAGGTGGACCAGATCTAAGGTAGACCAGATCTACGGTGGACCAGATCTAAGCTGGACCAGATCTAAGGTAGACCAGATCTAAGGTGGACCACATCTAAGGTAGACCAGATCTAAGGTAGACCAGATCAAAGCTGGACCAGATCTAAGGTAGACCACATCTACGGTGGACCAGATCTACGGTGGACCAGATCTAAGATGGACCAGATCTACGGTGGACCAGATCTACGGTGGACCAGATCTAAGGCGGACCAGATCTAAGGTAGACCAGATCTACGGTAGACCAGATCTAAGGTAGACCAGATCTAAGGTGGACCAGATCTAAGGTGGACCAGATCTAAGCTGGACCAGATCTAAGGTAGACCAGATCTAAGGTGGACCAGATTTAAGGTAGACCATATCTAAGGTGGACCAGATCTAAGGTGGACCACATCTAAGGTAGACCAGATCTAAGGTAGACCAGATCAAAGCTGGACCAGATCTAAGGTAGACCACATCTACGGTGGACCAGATCTAAGGTGGACCAGATCTAAGGTAGACCAGATCTACGGTGGACCAGATCTAAGGTAGACCAGATCTACGGTGGACCAGATCTAAGGCGGACCAGATCTACGGTGGACCAGATCTACGGTGGACCAGATCTAAGGTAGACCAGATCTAAGGTAGACCAGATCTAAGGTGGACCAGATCTAAGAGTCTAAGTTGTCTAAGTTGTATAAATGTATCATGAGAGCTGAGTAAAGATGCTCAGGAGTGGAAATCTTTGTTGGAATCGCCCTCTCTGACTCACTTTATTTGCTTTTTGTAGTAATTTAATCTCTTGTTCTCGTTAAATAAATAAATGAATGAATATTCACATCGACAAGCCATCTCTGCGGTGATCCATAAGTAGGGTTGCTGCACATAACTTCAACAACAGAATTGGCTCCAGTACCAAGTGGTGATCGGCACAAACACACACGGAGGCTGCAGTTCTGCTGTGTGTGAGCAGAATGCAAAACGGGAGCGAGCTTCTAGTGAGCGCGTATGTTTTAGCCGCTTGCGCGCTGCGGAGCGGTTGGAGAAACTGGTTTCAACAGCAGAACTGAGCAGAATGCTGATAACAGTAGTGCAACATGTTCAGGTTTTGATTGGCAGCAGGAGAGAGAGGCAGAGGGCCAACATGGAGGGAGCAGACTGATATAGTTTTTAACCTCCTCATTAGAAAAAGAGGCAGAATTGTTTTTCTGCTTTTCTACGATGACTGCTGAAACTTCTTCATCACGCTGCTGTCGTGCATATTTGCTGCAGAACTCACAAGTTTGCAGCTTTTTGCGTAGCTTTGAGGGGTTTGTCCTACCAGCGTAATTAGATGCCAAATTACGTACTTGCTACGCAAAATGTGTACAGGTTGGCAGGTCTGCTGATTTGTTAGCGATAGCTAGCTCTGCTGCTAGGTTCCACATGGTTCTACGTAAACAAGTCAAGAATGGACACAAACCACTGTGGAATGTTGGAGATGAGAGATGGTTTTGAAAGTCGCCAATTCTTGGACTAGCTGTTAGCTTTTTGATCTTATCAGAACTAATCTACTTCTCCAAACTAAGGCTGATCACACGGCTAGCGAAATCAGCTAAATTCTTCAGTATGTTTTTTAGCATCTACTGATTAGCACACATCTGGACTGAACCACTATTCTCTTCATTTTAGCTTTGTTGGTTTAAATGTTTCCCTTTTCCTCTTTGAAGGCGTCAGTCGTTTACGACTCCTCTGGTTTCTAAACTTACTCCTCCTGAATCAGGGTGGTCCTGCCCCCCAGCTCCCAGACCATGATGAGGACCTTTAGAAGATCAAAGCTCTTCTCAACGTGTTTAAGACCCCAAATGGGCAGGTGCTGTATTTGCTGAAGGACCTGATTGGTCCCTATGACATCTCCCACAATGCTTTGCTCTTTGGGGAGCCAGCACACGGCTGGCCTAAAACACTCTGTGTTTGTTTTGACCATGGGTGTTTCTCAGTGTCAAGGAACCATGCCCTGATGTCTTGGCCCCGCCCCAGTTGCCTAGGAGATACGTCATCAGGAGACGACAAGACGTGTTCCAATGTTCATGTTCTACCGAGGCGTGTGCTCTCCGTTTGTTAGCCGTTTAGCTAGCTGAGCAGGGATACACGGGAGTAGTCTAGCCTTGGTAAAAATTACCCAGAATACACCGCGGTATTTTCAAAAGCACGGCAGATCAGAAGCCGGCAGCTACTTCGGGGACAATTTTCAAGTTAAAAGTAAGTCAGCTAGTTTAAAATGTTTGTTTTAGATCCAAAGAAGTTATCTATGGTTGGTTAGTTGCTTAGTAGTTGCAGCTTCGGTGGCTAGCGGGTAGTAACTCACTTATATTTTTAATTTAATAAACATTTACACAATTTACAAAGTAAAAGTCTCATTATATATTTATATTGAAACTAATACATATAAAATATAACGTTATCTCCCGTGTCACATGACATTACGTGACCGCCGTGGTCACGTGATGCAAGTCTGTTCCATTTAACCGTTTTCTTTGACCAAGGAAGGACAGTGTCCTCGTAAGCAAGGCGCCTTCACAATGAGAAACACCCCATGTTTCTAGTTTTCCCTTTTAAATTCAGCTGGTTTTTGTCAGAAATGGATTGTAAATGTGTGATCAGCATTTGTGCTCTAAAACAAAGTGTCTAGTAAAGTTTAATTACAACTGCTGCCAAAGACAGGTGGATGAAATTCATCCGCTTCCATTCACAGGTGTAAGTGCTTCGGGGGTGCTTTCAGCACCGGTTTAGACAGATTTGATCCATCTAATAATAATTCACTGGAGAAAATATGTAAAATTCAAAAAGCAGCTTTGCAGCACCGCCCAGTTGCGGCCTGTGGTACTGAACCACAGCTGATTCAGGTCACATGGTCTTTGCAGAGGACAATGAAACTGAGCAGCAGTAAAGGGTGTGTGTGCAGGAGTTACATACATGAACACACAAGCGTTACGTGTTGTATGATAAGTGCCTGTTTGGATTCCTTTGTTTGTTGAACTGCACGTGTGAGTTTGACGGCTGCAGCCCTGTGCTCAGGCTCCTCTCTAAAGGAGCCTGCTACTGCACACAGATGGATGCACGCTGATGCATCCTGCACGTGCATGGTTTCAAGAGCCAAGGCAGTTATTCTCCTCGTGTAACAAACATTACTGAAACAGCACATTACAAAAGATAAATAAACACTTACATCAACCAGTTTGACGGTTTCATTTAAAACACACAGATGACTCCATCTGTAAGAATGTTCATTTGAAGGCACAGCTGAGTCTTTTAGAAAACGTTAGTGCTTACATAAACAAACAGACTAAATCTGCTGCAAATCTCTGAACTGGTTGGAAAAAGTCTGGTTCCCTTATAAAAACGTCTTTGGTTGGCTCCAGCTGCATCCTGGTAAACACTGGTGAATGCATACTTCATTATTAATGTAAATCTTCACTAAAGCCACAGCTGAACAAGCAGACAGGACAGTGTACAAATGATATAAAACAGGTCCTAATAACACGACATAAGCAGTGAAATAAGCACTGATACAGGCAAACTATACTGCGTTTGAGTCCTGCTGCGCTCCGCCATGACAGCTCCAACTACTCCATCACAGCAGGACGGACAAAACCCCCACGAGACGACACTCGCTCGCCCTGAAACACAGATCAGAGAAAAAAGAATAATCATCTATAATCCACCTCATATAATCCCATATTAGCTCCAGGTTCATGGTGATGTTCAACCAAGAGTTTACAGAACAGACTGTTGCTCCCCGGACCTTAAGTGCCTGTCCTTCTACCTACCTAGGGAGCACACCATCATCATTACTGGATTACTGCATGGGCGGTTATCTTTCAGCTGCAACAAGTTTTCCAACCCAACTGGTGCATTTCTTAAACAACCATGTGGAAAAAGACGTTAGCCTGTGTGAGAAGGATCAGATCAACGGCATCAAGCAGAGAAAACATCTAAGGAGACGCAGAAACGACTAAAAGTGGGTTCAGAACTGTCCAGCACTTTATTAAAACTGGTCTGATGAGTCCAGATGGACCCTGTTCCAGAGTGAAGGTGCATCAGGGTAAGAAGAGAGGCAGATAAAGTGATGCACCCATCATGCCTAGTGCCTACTGTACAAGCCTGTGGGGGCAGAGTTATGATCTGGGCTTGCTGCAGGTGGTCAGGTCTAGGTTCAGGAACAGGATGTGTTCCAAGAATGAGGTCAGCTGACTACCTGAACATCCTGAATGACCAGGTTATTCCATCTTCCCTGATGGCACGGCCATATTCCAAGATGACAATGCCAGGATTCATCAGGCTCAGATAGTGAAAGAGTGGTTCAGGGAGCATGAGACGTCATTTTCACACATGGATTGGCCACCACAGAGTCCAGACCTTAACCCCATTGAGAACCTTTGGGATGTGCTGGAGAAGGCTTTGTGCAGCGGTCAGACTCCACCATCATCAGTTAAGATCTTATTTAGACATTATAGCAGTGCTGGATGGAACTAAACCTGTAGTCAAAGCTAAAGGTGCTTTCCCCAGCATCGTTTTACTGAGGTGGGTCGCCCGGACGTTTCTCTGGGCCTGAATGTTTTCTCACAAAACACCGCTCACACACTTCGCTGGCACATTTAACAAGCTTACTTTGAATTACCGTAACTCACCAACAGTTTGTGCCGTCACAGTTATCCAGAAACTGTTCCACAGTTTGTGGAAAATTCAGACGGATTCTTAAAACGAAAAGTTGGTTGGTTAGTGTTATTATGGTAAATCCTGTTCTGCTGTAGCAGGAAGTCGGTTTCACACAAACTAATGGCGCCAAGTGAGACACCAAAAATGTGCAACAGACAACAGCAGCCATACATAATGTTGGCCATGAGGGCGCCACGTAAGAAAAAAAAACAGCAAAACAACCAAATGTCGCTCCATCAGCTCAAGCATCGGGATCTCGCAGCCCCCTGTCCCCACCCCGTCAGTGCTTGCTGCTACTACCTAACCCGGGGAAACCTCCAGTGTGTAAAACAGTTACCACAACAGATCCTGGGTCAGTCAGGAAGGTTTTAAAATAATAAAACGCAGTTTTCTCGATCAAGCAATCACCATTTTTTTTCGTAAAACAACAGATTGTTCAGCCCTACATAAAAGTACAGACAACCTCCTGGACATGGACTACGAGAGGACAGCGGATAACAAAACAAAGAGACGTGTAATATGAGTGACCACTGAAACCGCCGTCAGCACCGTTATGAGGATGGAGGTGATCTGCTTACCTGTGTCGGGGTGTTGCTGTCCGGGTAGTGCTGAATGTTGTGCGAGTGCTGTGTGAACACCACACCGGGCGTAGCTGTCGGCGGGCTGATGGTGGCGCTCTCCTGGTTGACAGCTGATGTGCCGTTCACGAGGAGCCCCGCGTGGCTCCACTGGAAGTAACGGGGAGCTTGAGAAGGACCCTGATCCAGAGGTACATCAGTCCTGCTGAAATCTGACGGCTCACGGTGAGACAGGACATCTCCTCTGTCTGGGCTGGAGAAGTGCTGCCCAAACATGCAGCTGCTGTGAGGGGCTGCCCGCCCCCCCTGCTCCCCGAGTCCTGGCCAGATTGCAGCATGTGGGAATGTTAGATTTTGTGTGTTTTGGTTCTGGAATGTGGGGACAGTTCCATGCCCATTTTGCATGATGGTGGGGTGCGTCAGCGCCTGACTCGGAGGCCACTGGTACAGCGAGTTGTTGTGAGTTTTCTAACGCCACGGTCTGTTGGAGAAACTGTGTGTGACGGCCAACAGGAAGGGTGGAAGAACTCGAGGAGCTGTAGTCGTTACACGAAACAAGAGGTGGCAAAGTGTTTGTTACAGCGGGCAGTGGTGGTTGCCGAACAGGAACTCTGCAGCATCGGCCCAGCTCCTGTCAGAGTCGGCACCTGCAGACCGGCTGGATGTGACAGGAGCTGGTTTGGCTGCTGGATGAGAATAGAACCTCCCTGAGGGCGGCTTGTGGGCCTAAACGATGCTTGTCGACATGCAAAGAGAGATGAGAATGATTCATCAGCTGAGATGTTGGGAACTGTGAGCTCTGGGAGCTCGATGGACGGGGTGAAGATGTCCTTCAGCTGCAGCTGCTGCAGGGGAGGCAGGCTGCTGTCAGGCTGAGAGATCACAGGACCCTGATGGGACAGTTTCTGGTTCCCACTGACCACCAGGCTGTGCTCTCCAATCATTGGCCCGTTGTCCTGGTGAGCATAGTGGCCGTTCACCGGAGAGTAAGTGCCATCAGGAGCTGGAGCCTGAAACAGCTGCGGCTCACACAGTTCAGGGGGGGTGCAGCTGTTTACTCCGGAGTGGCAGTTACGGGGGAGGCTGCTGAGGGCCTCCTCTTCCTTCTCCTTGAAGACGGTATCGATAAAGTCGATGATGTCATCAGGGATGATGCTGTCCAGGTCTGACTTCATGCTCATCTGAGGATCTTCTTCCTGTGGAATCTCTTGAGGCAGTTTTCCCACTCCATCGGATCTGCATCGTCCACATCCAGATGCTGCAGGACTGCATCAAATTCTCCCTCTTGTGAGAGCTTCTCCAGGCTGTCAATCACAGCCATCACCGACGGCTTGGCCTCCTTACCCAGCACAGCCTCTCTCTCTGTGGCTGGAGCCCTCAGTTATCACTGCCACGGAGTTACTAGCCACGCTGACAAGGGCGTGGCTGTCCATGAACACCTGGTCCACTGGCAGGGGTGCTTCTGGTGTCTGGCTGTAGATGGTTTCATCCTGTCTCAGGAAGCAGTCCAGCAGAGAGCTGGGGAACACGTCCTTCTTGGCATCTTTTGCCGTCGAACATTTTGTTGAACTGGAACTGGGGGATGTCCATGGTCTTGGTTGGTGCTGTAGAGGATGGCCTCTTCCTGTGGAGCAGCTGAAGGGCAGCTGCATCCTCCGCTGCCGCAGGTACTCCTCTCCCTCGGCGTTCCTGCAACAGAACCAACAGCCCACGTTACACCCCCGCCACCGCGACCCATCTGACTGCTGTCACGGTGACCACGTCACGTTAAAGCTTTCTGATAAGCGATGATGAACTCGGGTCTTCCTCCCTTATAGATGAGCTTGGCGTTGGCTTTCACCCACACCCAGCTGTTGGACCTGCTGAGGAGTCTGAACACAGTCAGACCACTCTCTCCAGTCTTAATCACTGTGGAGGACAACAAGGAGACACCTGTCAGATCTCCAGCCTCTATGGTTAAACAGGGAGGGGTGTGTGTGTGTGTGTGTGGGGGGTCGTACTGCGGATGTGGTTGTCTGCACAGTACATCATATCAGCAGCGTGGATGAACTGGTAACCAGAGCCTTTCATACACAGCTCAGCCTCAGAGTAACCCAGAATGATCTTCCCCCTGGAGAAACACCAAGAGGGACAACATGGAGTCAGGGTCAGGAAGACAACCGCCGTTTCGTCTCTGCAGTAGGGCTAGACCAGGGCTCGGCAACCTTTTCCCATCACAGAGCCATTATTACTTGTTTCCCTCAGTAAAGAAAACACGGGAAGCCGCAGCAGCCGAGAGCCACCATTAGTGGTTTCAGTAGTTAAGCAGCTTTGAGACGCGTCCACACGTCTCCTTTTAAAACACGTTTAAACTGTTTCAGAACACAAATCCAGGCTCTCTCTCGTTGGAACGTTGTAATTACACTTTGTACCGAATGAAACTTCACATTAAAACAATGTTGGAAAGGTAAGAAAAGGACACGGTCAATTCGTTTTCTCCACGTTTACAGCGACGGAGATGACGGCGCCGTGAGCCTGACTCTGGTGTTTAACAAGTTTAAATGTTCCTGTTTGCAACAATCCTCACAAGAAGGCTAAACAGTTAGAAGACAGGGTTCGCACTGGCCGGATATTTCCTGTTTTTGATCGTTTATTTTGATGGAGAAACCTCGAGCCTGCAGATGCACTGGACTTTTCACCGTTACGCACATTGCAGACGTAGCTAAATCGCTCAAGAAAAGATTCCCATCAGAACATCTGAGCTAGACACTCAGCTCAGCTCAGCTCGCTGTCAGCGCGCACGTAAGGTGGACAGCGAGCCGAAGACGTGGAGATCGGGGTTTGGAGCACGTCGCAGAACCAGAGCCATGCAGGAAGGTTCCTCCCACTGAAGCGAGTGTTTTCAGACCCGAACTCTCAGAGAGACTCGTCATTTAGAAAATGTTCCTGATGATGAAACTTTGGCTGAATAGCGCTAGTTCCCGTCTCCAATGGTGACGCATCCATGAGCCTGTCCGAGTCCAGAACCTCATATCCTCTTCAGCTCAGAAAGCTCCTACAGAGACATCTGATTACGCACAAGCAGGTGACCCGTCAACCCGGTCTCACAGTAAGACCGGGTTGGACCGGTTCAGGTTTACAGACAACCTTCACATTTAGAATTGGCATGCAGATAAAAAAATAATGCAGTAAAATAAAATATATTTATTCATTCATTATTTTACAAACACAGAGAGCCGCATCAGATGGGTGGAAGAGGCGCGGGTTGCCGCCCCCTGGGGCTAGACCGTGTGCTGTGGGCTAACTGAGAAGTACGAACAGCAGCACCTGCTATCCACGCCCATGGGGGTGAAGTCCAGCTTGTGCTTTGTCTGGAAGAGGAGCATTTTAGCTCTGATCTCCACGATGGCCGGAGGCTGGGCCGGTACCCGCCACAGCAAACAGCGCCAGCTGAACCTTGCTCCCAGATCCGCTGTCCCTCACAGTGTTCGGGCCATGAAGGTACTTCAGGCGCCCCTGGAACTTTAGAGCCTATTTAAGGAAGTAGATCCTGTTTCATCATCCGTTCTGTTAAAGATAAATAGATAAAAATGAAACTGAGACGAACCAGGAAACCGGAGGAGTTGTCCAGGAGGCAGCGGAAGCGACACACGAAGCTCCTCTCCAGGAAGGACGAGTTGTCTGGAGGGAAGCTGCTCAGCACTGTACATCACTGCATTCCCACATCCGCAGGACCCTAGAAGACACGCGGACCACGGAGAGGCTTCAGGTCACATGGAAGTTGGTGTCACACTTCTTTGGATGGAGAAACAGAAGCTCCTCAAAGTAAGTGACCTAAGCCCTAAAGTACATCAGAGTTACCTTCTTTCATCTGCTGCAGCAGGTGGAGGGTTCAGGGCAAAGTGGAGCTGCTCTTCTGAACAAGGCTCGGTCAGTCAGTGTGGATGAGATCAAACACACTTTGATGGATCACATCCGACTGCACAGAGAGCAGAGACACGCGTCACGTCAGGGCTTTAGGGTTGACCCCAGAGTGTGGACTTTTTGTTAACACACACCTGTACTCCAGGTAATCAAACACAATCTAAGTTTTTCTACAAAACTGAAAACGATTTCTGCATCATCAGAAATCTGGAGCACATGAAGCAGCGTCTGACCTGATGGAAGCCCAGGTAGTCCTGGATTGTAGGAGAGGCATAAAACACGAGTCCCTCTGACATGACGGCCAACACGAAGCCATTCAGGGCCTGCAGGAAACACACGTCAGCTTCAGGCTCCTCACGCAGCTGAACACACCTGTATAGCCCTTACAAGTAATGCTTTATTTTAAACTGTTCTTTCAATCACAGCATTTTTTATTTTGAAAGCCCCCCCCCCCCCCCCCCCCCCCCCATGTAATGAGGCGAATACAACGAGCATGCTCTGTGTTTATGTCGTGTGCTAAACTGAGGTTGTTCCTTATGATGGTTTGCTGTTGATCCTTTTAACCCTCCCACTGTCCTATCAGGTGACCCCGTCCAGGAAGGTGCCCGTTGAGCAGGGTTGATCCCTTGAGGTCCACCACCTCACTACTGCCACGTTACAAGCGAGACTTTTCATGATTCCTGCTGGTTCTGTGGGTCCAGCTTCTGTTCGAGCAGGACACAGTCAGCAATCTGTGGTCAGATCGCCAGACGTCTGAAGAACCAATCAGAGGTGCTGAGCAACTATTGCA